CTGCAGCTGCAGCAGCTGCTGCTCTTTGTCTTCTCGTCGAGCCCAACCTGCTGCTGTTGCTGCTGCTGCTGCTGCAGCAAGTGCGGCTGGGACGGTTTGCTGCTGCTGCTGCTGCGGTCTTGTGCCTTTGTTCTCAGATCCGCTTCCTGCTGACGGAGAAGGGACTTAAAGATGAGTCCATTGCCTACATCGGCGAGATGCTTTTTCTCTACTTAAGGTCCACCAAACCCTAAACCCTAAACCCTAAACCCTTGAGCCAGAGCCAGAGTAGGGGACCTGTTGGGGTCTCGGGTTTGGCCTTTAAAGCTCATGGTTGCTTTCTGAGTTAACTAGGACTTTGCTGCTGCAGCAGTGGGGTGAACGCGCGGGGGCTAGGGTTTAGGGTTTAGGGTTTAGGGTTTCGGGATTGTGCACAGGGCCATTCGTATGCTGGGAGTGGAAGAGTGGCGCTACGCAGAGATGGCCGCAATAAGGCGGCAGCAGTTTCGCTTTGCAGACATGGCAGATGCCTACGACTTATCTCAAGCTGCAGCAGAAGGTAAGCAGCAGGAGCAGCAGCAGCAGCAGCGAGTGCTGCAGCAGCAACTGCAGCAGCAACTGCGCGAGCAACTTGCAGCAGCAGCAAGTGTTGGCACGACGACGTTGCAGCAGCGCTGCCCCAGCGGCAGCAGCAGCAGCAGCAGCAGCAGTTTGTCCCCGTTTGCGTGCCTTCTTTCGCCATTTGCTGCTGCTGGGTTTGCTGCTGCTGGCTTTGCTGCTGCTTCTGCTGCAGCGCTGCAGTACTACCCAGTGAAGGAAGTGCTGGCAGGACCTTCGAACTTATATTTGTTCAACAAAGAATTAATTGTGTCTTTAATAGACCATTATTTGGGGCCCCACAACCTGCGGCTGTTTCTGCTGCACAAGCAGCAGGGGCGCGGGGGCCCCCTAGTTGAACCCAGGTACCAAATCCGGTACTCCCGGGAGCCCCTGGGGGCCCCCCTGCTTGCCCGCTGGGGGGCCCTCTTCTCCCTCAGCAAGGGGCCCCTTCTTGCTGCGCTGCAGCAGCACGGCCTCTCCCTCCCGGGGCCCAACCCCTACCTTCTCCCGTTGCTGCAGCAGCAGCCCGTGGAGCAGCAGCAGCAGCAGCAGCAGAACCCACACCCCACACGCCTTCTCTTCCCACCCGGCCATCTCTGCAACCCCTCGGGACACCTGGGGGGCCCCTCTCACCGCAGACCCTTGGGGGCCCCTCAAGAGCCCTTGGGGGCCCCTCACGGGGGGTCCCTGGGGGCCCCCCTTGAGGGGGCCCCTGGGGAGCCTTTGGGGGCCCCAGGGGAGGCAACTGCAGCAGAGGCTTCAGAGGGGCCCCTGGGGGCCCTCGGGGAGTCCTTGGGGGCCCCTGAAGAACCCTTTGGGGCCCCCGGGGAGGGGCCCCTGGGGGGTCTTCTGGGGCCCCCAGAGGAGCCGCTGGAGGCCCTCAATGAGGGGCCCCCAGAGGAGTCCCTGGGGTCCCCCGAGGA